CATTAGAAGTAATGGCAGAGGGGGATTCCATGGATTCCTGATGAGCCTTTAGTGTGTGAGTATGTGCTGAAGCGTGAGTGGACATGCTAGTTTTCAGAGTGTCCGCCTGTGTCACTGTAGAGGAACTTTAGGAATTTCCTTTGTTGATAGCCCCCCTCCCCACTTTCCCCACTGAGGAGGAGGGAGGCACTTTCCCACACCACATATAGGGCTTTTCTGTGAGGGAGGGGCTGAAACAGTGATACTGATAAACAGCAGAGGAGGGACAGAGAGAGAGGGGCCTTAGTTGGGTTGCAACATGAATACACACGCATTTGATAGAGTCCGATTTCCGTCTGTGGACAGATTAAACACTGCTGTCTTAGGGATGCAGGCTGAACCAGTTGAGCATAAAACTGACATGCACAAAATGATGACTTAAGGACAACTTACGCATTGCAGTATGGTCTCTTCTCAAAGCCTTTGTAATTCTTCATGTTTAGAGTCATTTTGCAGACCTCGCAGCTGAAGCATCCTTTATGCCAGTACTGTAAACAACAACAAAAAAAAGACACAAAAGATTGAGCGGGTGATATTAAGAAACATTTTGTTTTTTTTTTTTACCTTTCTCTGGCTCCAAAAGGAGAGCCTAAAAAAAACACACACACGACGACACACACACACACACACACAGAAAAACCATACATCAACTAGCACAGAAAGCTAATTTAATGAGTAAACTACTTTTTCTTCCCTTGAGGTTTCACCGGTACAAGAGCTGTTTACAGACAATAGAAATAGTGACTGAAAGAATGTGAAGCACTGTGGTAACACAGTAGTTTGTGTATGCTGGCACTGAAACCAACATCCCCTTTCTGACAGCAAATTGTATGGCTACTATTTATAAGTAACTGGTGTGAAGGATGAGGAAGAGCTGTCAAGCTTGTGATTGACAAGTATGCATCTGAATTTTTGCCCGTCTTATCTGGCGCAATCAATGTTCACACTTTTGTTGTACCCATGAGCTCAGATGTGTGCGTGGAGAATGATGGGTTTTTGTTTATTCCATATGTACCAACAGAAGGTGTTTTAGCTTCGTGCTGCAGAGACTGTGCTTCCTCTGAAAGCCACCTAATGACTATCTGTCCGTCTGCTCCTCTCTGCAGGCCTGCATGTTTCTGCAGCTCCTCCATCCAGCTTCATAAGACGCCGTGTCTCTATCTCCCTCACCACCCTTTCTCCGGTCCTCCCACCCACCCGCTCACCTCCTTTCCTTTTCTCT